AAGGGTGAAAGGTCTCTTAGGGGATGTCAAACAGATGCAGACAATACTCCCGCTAAACTCCACATACTTAGGGCCATTTATGATTAGAAAAAAAGTAGAGAACATTGATCCATTGTCCAGGAAAAACACTCGTTGAAACTTGTCATTATTCTCGTACCTAGACCTTCCACAGCCAGTTACACGGCAGGATCTGAGTTCGAGGTTAATTTGTTGTCTGAACGTTGATTTTTGAATAGTGATAAGCTTCAATAGAGGATAACAGATTGAAAAAAAAAAATTCGATACCTTAAGTGACTCACTTGTTTTGATTATATTAGGAACCCATTGAAAGGCTCCTGTTGCATTAAATACATCGACTGTCAAAAACCTCGGCAAACCCTTTCGAATATAAGGCTCTTGTTCTCTTATACTACGTGGTTTCTCAAGCTGGGATGTTTGGTTCTGTTTCCTTTCTCTCTACCGCAGAAATCGACCACAATGCACCGAGAGGACGTATATGACATTTTCCCAGGAGTCTATGCTACCGTGGAAATGATGCCCGACAGCGTAGGAGACTGGTTACTACACTGTCACGTGAACAATCACTTGGCAGGCGGAATGGAAACACTTTTCTCAGTCATGGAAGCGACTAGTAAGTGCTCATTCTCCATTAGCACGCTCGCTTAGACACTTGTGCAGTGATTTTAAAACGACACTTACTTGGCTGTTAACTACGCCCTGTTAAGTAAATGACTTGATAATACCTTTCGAGTCTTGTCTTTAATTCTTTTGTTGTTGTTGTTGTTAGTTAGTTGTATTTAACGTGTTTATTGGAAGTTTGAAACTAATGTAAATTTAGGGATTAAAGTGTGAAGTCTTGATGTTTTTTTTTCCGTTTTTTGTTCAATAGATAAGCCAACAGTTTACAGCACGGCTTCCAAAGCAGAATTCGACAGAATAATTTTCACGACCCTACTTGTTTTCATTTTGTTTTTGCTTACTGCTTGATCCCACAGTTCCTAGTTTTTCGATCAAAACGAGTTTCAGATGATGTTTTGAACCCTTGGGTCTTTCTCAAGCAGCTAAGTAATTCAAACATTTAACATATAAAGTGTGTTACTGTAACCAGTGAGTTTTCACTTCCATCAAGTGGAAGAATCTAGACATTTATTCTTTTTTAGCTTTCATAGGCGTCTCGGAGTTTTGACAGGTTTTTAGGAGTTTCATGGAGTCTATCGTTTTTTAAACGTCAGAATGATCATTTGGAACACTGAGTAATTTGTTAGTTCTTTGAATGGTGCTGTATTACTTGCAAATTAGTTGACGTTTGTAAATTGTAATCAAGTCGCAGCTGTTTTCTTTTAGAGTAAAGGAAAGAGTGCACTTCAAGATGTTTAATTCATTGTTATTGTTAAAACATGTTTAAAACAGGGAACCTTTTCGCCAAGCGTGTCGCAAGCGAATCGTGAGCGAATTGCCTGTAAACCGCAAGAAAACCGCTGACAAACGGCGCGTAAAGCGATAGCAAGTGGCAAGAGACCCAAGCAGTCATATCTGTACTTATCCTGCACGACTATGCGCCAATGTCTGGTGTGGAAATCCCTATTGGTAAAACAAAACAGAAAGCAAAACAAAGCATAACTGTAGCTAACGCTAAGCCACAAGGGACACCTGGGTAACTTTCCGAGTTTCTTAGCGCGCATTTCCCAAAAACACGTGTGCGGGCAAAGTGTGGTGCGAACGTCAGATTCTCAGCAGTCAAAGTCGTCTTGTTAGTTTTGAACTTAAATGGAACGTCTTATTTAGATTCCTTAAGATTAGACCAGTCTACCCTCGTTGCTGGACAAAGTTTTACGGTTCGTTCTGTATCCTGCTGAGGAAATCAGAAAAGTTGTAATTCTGCCAGCTTGTATTCGTGAATTGTTTGGATTTAATTTGAATCTATTTATCGTCGAAGGGTCCCCGATAACAATAACAAAAAATAAGGTAAAGTTTTAGCCATGAAAACGGCTAAGCCCATCGAGTTACTACAAGTATAAGGCAAAACAGCAACATGATTTAAGAAAGAGTATAAATTGTTCTTTAATTCAGATTGTCTCGTAAATCTGAAGGCTTGTCTAAACTCGTATAATGCTGGCACATTTGTCTAACATATGTGCCATTTACAAACCTATTTTCAAGCACCTTTCAAAACTTTGTGATTTGAGTCTTTGTAAATGTGTAAAACACCTAATACTACAATATCAATATATAGGGATACAAAAATGCTTCTGTAAATAATCATTAGGTTTTGGTGTTCACTAATTCACCTTAATCACAATTTAGATTTGTTGTATATAAATATAGAGGTAAATATTTGAGGGGTGAATACATTACAGAAATATGCCGGTGATACAATTGAAAATAGAGTGCAGCATTATTACATTTCGGCATCTGAATGTGTCAAAATAGATTTTAAGTATCGAGGACTCTCTGCTTCAAAATAAGGTTTCTTTGTAATAATTCTTGTGAGGAATACAGAATGCTGTAAGTATATCATAAATTTGAGTTTCATAAATATCAAAAGACAATTTTAAAGTTACCTAGTAGCACAAGAAAAACCAACTACTTTGGTGTTAACTTTCTTGCAAAGTGCAACAATAGTTTTTTAAAAAATATCACCCAGCTACATAGAAATTTTTTAGCAGAAAGAATAGTCTTGCTATTCAGTGAGTGAATCTGACAAATTTTAAGAGGTGTTTTAATCCATCGCACTCAATATGATCGATAAATCTCCATTCTATTCGTTAGACATTTCCTAACATGGAACCTATAAAAAGAATCTGGACTTGTTTCAAGACAGTATCGAAAAGCTGAAAACTTTCCCTCAACTAATCCCTCTTCTGCTTGACTGTGAATGGATTTCTAATTGAAGTTACAGTCGGGATGATTAACAATTTATTTCTTATATATATATATATATATATATATAAACAGAAACTAAACAAACTAGTATTTTGGTCCTTTTCTGGTATATTCTGAAACAATTATTCACCTACGGTAAAGGCCGGTAAAGGGAATGGATATTTACCTTCTTTCAGGCGAAAAATTTTTCCATAGACACATGATAATAGATTTTCAAAAAAAATGTATACGAACAAATCAATTTCTTGTATTTGAATAGTTTGACTAATGTGTGAATGGCTGAAACTGAGTTCAAGTCGAGTAAGTTCGACGATCACGTTTCATTCCTCTTTTATCACTTGTGACGTCACTTACCCCGGGCTGACTGCTGTGGCAAATATTTCCCAGGTAGGTCACCTCCACATGTTTTCCTCTTTCTTTCCGGATCACAAATCGCACCTTCACGTTGCATTCTGGTCGCTTGCATTCCGCGCCTCCCCTGAAGAATACTGCTGAGTGGATTTTCCGAGAGTTTTCTGATCTCACGTGATTATTTTTGAAGCGTAAACTGCACCATGGGTTGCTTTCTTTGACTTTGCTGAGGAAGATTCGTGTCCAGTCGCCACTCAACAATCGGCCACCGCTGGGGAATGTGTTGATCGGAATTCTTGCCCAGTCCTCTTTGGACAACTTAAATCTTGCTGTAGTACCATCGATCTCCTTTCGGAAATACTTGTCTCTTTTTCCGTTTTCATCATCATCAGAAGAATCTGAATCGTCCGAGTAATCCTGGGAACAACCAAAAAGCTCCTTTAACCATTTACCTCCCATGAGTGACCAAGACAGAATTTCTCCTCACAATATCAATACAATATCAAGTATAGATGTGATGAGAATAAAGTAAAATATAAATTAGGGGATTATTAATTGATCCAATACCAAATTCTCCAAATTGACATCATAAGAATTGTATGGCAGACAGTTAGGAGAATTACTAATGAGATCTTGGGAGTCAAAGGGTTAACAGGTCTGACAAATACATTCAGACAAAGGAACACATACCCCATTTTTACATATGTGGGCTTTGTTTTCCTTTAAGTGCTTTAAGGACTGGAAATCGACCAAATAAGGAGTTCACACATGCAAACCTCGTTTAGCTCTTCTACACTTTTGGAAATCATTAAAATTACTTGGTGAAATAGATACATTACATGACAGACATTACTATGTGAAAATAAGCCTACATCGTTACATTTCAGAAACAATCACATACCATACTATTATTCAAGCCATCTCTGTTGGACCAGTTTCCTCCCTGATTCTGTGAATTCAGCTTGTGAGTCGATGTATCAACCTGTTTTTAGGCAAGAGGAAAGATTGTGGTCATTTACATGATTGAACTCCCAAGCTTAAAGATTATCTGTGGATTATGAACATTAAGAAATTTTATCCGCGTTTGATAACAAAGGAAACATCATCTAAGATACTGACGTATCAATAAGTGTTTTACAAAAATCTGACAGTATGACTTTATGGGCCAAAAAGTCCCACTTCAATTTAAGACATTTCTATTCTTAGACAATTCTTAATGGATAAGTGTTTTCCAAAGATGCAGCACTCATCAAGAAAGTTTACTGAAAGAATTTGTGAATGGGCAGAAAGGATTGTCCTCATTCAATTCAATTTTTGCATCCAGTGACTATGTTGGCTAAGAAGTTACACCTCAATTTCAGACACTTTTGGATCAGTTTTCAGTGGGATGTCACTTCGCTGTCATAATACTGAGTAGAAACGTCCCTCTGTCTCAAGCTAATTCCACATTTTGTTACCTCCAGTGGTAGATGAGACATCCCCGGATCATTGCTGCTCCAGCCAACAGGGACCATGATAACTGAGGGTCGAGGGTTCTTCAAATCTACTGCTGGATATTGACGAGATGGGATATTTTGCCCATGGCAGCAACAATTACAATTCCTTGCCTTCTGGTTGTTTGGAACCAAATCACGGGATTCTGTTGGCCACGCTGGAATTCTTTGTTGAAATTCTTGAAAGCCGTATCCACGAGGGTACATTGGCATACCATTGTAGTACTTGATCTCATTATTCTTATCCTTTGCCCAGTCTCCTGTTTGGGGAGTCGTTACTTCTTCAAAGTGGTAAAGAGGCACAGTGGATTTCAGAGAAGCTGATGAGGGCGAGCCGTTGGTATCCATTTGGTTAGATGTACTCTTCTCAGAGGTTCCATTTTTATAGAAAGACCCTTGGCTATCAAGTTGGTGTGCTGAATTGCTACTCGTGTGGTGGTTCTGTTGATAGCAGTGAGCTCTCTCGCTGGGATTATGCTGCTGGATTGGGATCTCCTTTTCTTCCTTTTCGATCTTATTTAATGTCTCCCTATCATAAACTGGCGAATTGTTAACTTGAGACGGAATATCAACCTCAGCAGTAAACCCGTTTTCGTGTGAAATCAAATGATTGGGAAGTTTTTCCTCATGGAAATGTCCTACAGCTGAGACTTTATCCTGGTTGACGAAATCAAACGTTGGAGATTGCTCTCCTTGGCTGGTCAGTCCATCCACTGGATTTTCGATCTGATAGACTGGCATAACATTGTTCTCCACAATTTGATCACACATTGCTCCTTGCACGTTGCTAATTTGTATGTTGAGTATATCTTCTTGAGTGTTTACGTCTCTAAGTAAGGGTATTTCTTGGATTGATTCCCTTGACATTGAAATGGTTTGGTGACTGATTGTATTGCTCTGTGCCTCTGATATTTCCACCTTAACCACTGGCATCTCACACGTAGAAATTATTTGATTGCAATGTCCATTTTCTGGAATTTCAATCTTTACACAGCCAATCGGCATGTCATTCAAAGAATACATATTGTAAGCACTCACAAAACTCTCAAAGACGAAAATTATTTCAGATGGTAGTTCTTCTTTTTCCTGTCCTGATAACAGCGAACGACAAAATAGTCAAAGTCGGATGTCAAAGGTGATCTGAAACGTGAATAAGAGAGGAAATAGTTAAAGGATGCCTGACTACTTTCATCGATGAACAAGACGAAGTCAACAACCAAATATCTTAACAAATCCCAACGCTTTAATGATTCCAGATATTGTTCTTTTGTCTAAGAAGGCAAACAGGCTTTGTCAGTCTTAAAGGTGGATATTTGAACAAAAGGTCGGAACAACTTCGCAAAGAAGTCGACTTTATGCGACTTCTTCGGTCAGAAAAATTCGATCGCGAGGAACAAATTTTTTTGAAATATTCCTCATGTAATTCTATACGGAGCGAATAGTCCTTCAGTTACCATCCGTATCTGCCTTGTGTCGTTACAAATTATCTGCTAGAGTTTCCTGACCTTAAAAGTCAACATAAACGCAGAAACAATGAGGGCAGTTGGCTAAATCCTTATTTATTCCAGCGCTAAAATTGCATTATAATGGTTTTGCTAACTATTTTAAGCTAAGTGCTTAAGATAAGATTTAAGCATATTTGACCTGCGCACCGTTTATTTTGCGCCGATAAATGAGCAAGTAAAAAATCTACAGAGATCGGTTTGGTGAAATACTCAAATCGTAGAAACATTTCCTGAATTTTCTTACTAATTATTGGGTAAATAAATACCCTTAAGGGTCACTGACACCTTAAAACAACAACAACGAGAGAGCTTAAAGTAAAGAGTAAAGGGATCGTAGTTCGCTGTAAAACTATTTGCATTTGCACGTCATCCTTGACCTTCAACAATGATTTTTATTTTTACTGAGTTAAGAAGGTTAAGGAGAGCACATCTGCAGGTGTTAGTAACATACTACTGAAAGCCATTACCATTCATGGCATATCAACTCCATTCAGCCCTTAACAGGCCATCTGCACTAGCTGTGCCTGTTGTCGTAACGTTCAGAAGGGTAAACATTCAATCAATTCCGTTTCTGACGCGTCGTGGAACGCCTCGTAAACCTATACTGAGACTGTAAATAAGAATATGTGTTTTTGTGCGTTGTGCCGGCCACGAATTTCC